TTTTCAGACTACATGACTTTCAAAGCTAAAAAGCAACGAGGAGTGAAAGAGACCGTTAGAACTAAACTACTCTGCTTACCTTAACAGAATGGACATGATCCTCAAAATTGTGCTCTCCAAAGATCAGAACCACGATTTTCAGTAGAGGCTTTGCACCGGCAAAACGAGCTAGTACTACGGGCAATAACACTTGAATAATCATCGGAAGAGCCGGGGCGAAGATGACGAAGATGATGGCGCACCGGCGTTGCGACGAAGATGATTGTCCAAAGTGAGCGCACGCCTAGGCACTCAGCGAACAGAGGAAGCTCAGAGAAGCGCGCCTCAGCGCCAAACGAATTACTCGTTCGTCTAGGTAATGGCTTACGGCGAGTCTCAATCTCTTCGGTCCTACACCGCCCGCCTATCACTGCATTTATGGAAACGCGCTGAGAATCACGGCATCTTGGCCTGCTATGGACAGTTGACATACTGCGGAATAACTTTTAGAATGTGAGCCAAGGAATGAAGTGAGGAGAGTGCCTGATGTCACTGGAACCCTTCATATTCGCATCAGATTCGGTGAAGTAGAAGCATTCGATCGGTCCAGGACTGTGTAGTGACGCAATGAACCATTGATGTCGAATAGACTGTTCTGAGAAATTGTTTCTCAAAGTAATCTAAGTTGTACATTCGTTTCTGGCTTCTGTGGGCTTCTTTTCTACCAAACTTCATGCCGAGGGTTCAGGTCATCTGGAGCCACCCACTTTGCTCAGATTAGCGGTGGATCGACATCAAATCTGGCCGTCTTTTAGGTTGGCGTCCAGTGTTTTGTGATTAATGATGCCTTTTAAATCCATTGGTCTATGGGAATTTTCTTGAAGTTTGAAATGGTGTTCGGGGATGAATCGCACTTTTCTTTGGCTTTCCAGGCTCTGACGAAGGCGAGCAAGGCCGAAACGTCAGCCGAACAAAGGTTCAAGTACCACGCCAGATCCGTGCTGCTGGAATTCAGTGCTTTCATTACTTGATGAGGTTCCACACACCAGCCAACATTCGTTCGTCATTTGTCTAGAAAATTGAGAGATGCAGGCCGGGTAGACAGAAAAAAATCACCAGAGTAAAAATCCGCCATATCCTGGTCGATCGGCCTTGTTCGGTTTGCGATTATCTGCTCGTAGAGTACCGCAGCTTCTGAAGTAGCCATGCATATGGAGCGTTTATCGCCATCCCACAACAGACCATCTTTCGTGAAGTTACCGCGAAGTTCGGTAAATCAAAAGGGCTTAAATGGCTTTGGGGTGGAACTGCATACTACGTATTAGCAACCAAATGACATGAGATGAGAGCTGACCTGGATGAGCGTAACCTCCATAGAAGATAAGACACGATAAGATAAGACGTTAAATCTGCATGAAAATGAGGGGCACACCAGAATTCTGACGATAACGACAACGTTATCGGCTCATTGGGTAAGTCTCCTGGCCTAAAGCGCTAGTTAGTTTCCCATTCGTCCTCATGAGATTGATTGCTATCGCTTGTTTGAAAGGAATCCTGCTCCGGAAAGATCATGAATCTATCTCACACATGAATCACTGGCCTGAGACCCATCGTGCACGATAAGAACGAAAACAGTGAAAAAATTGCGTTTTGTGAACAATTCGGAAAACTGGAAAGACTGCTACGCGTTCAAATTCCCGCCGTACATCTGCCACAAGCGCCTGCGGCGCGATCTTCCATTTTGGTTTCGGAATGCCGTCACTAGGCACTCTTTCGACCTTTTGACTTATTGCACTAGTAGCTTACACTTCTACTCCATCCCATTCTATCAAT